CAAATCTCCTGGTAGATATGGACCCCCTTTTTAAAACACTTTTATATACTAAAGACATCCCCAATAACGGTGAATTATGTTAAATTCATTAGTTTTCAGATACCCGCGGAGGTACTTATCAACCACACATAGTTATTTATTGTGAATAGAAAACATTGTTTTTATATTTGCCAGTGAGGGAGATCTAAATTCAAAAATCTTAAACTACAAATAAACTACAAAGGTCCAAAAGGAAAGTATGTATACAACAATTAATACTAGGAGTTACTATCGCAAGGAAATTGCTGCCTCATCCCTAAAGGCCTGTTTACACTTGCAATTTTTGCTGCGACTTTAAGTGCGATTTTTTCTGCTGACGTGATGGCGACATGAAATCGCCAATGTAAACACCCTGCGATTTCACTGCAATTCCAGTGCAACCTCACTGCGACAAGCTGCAAATATTTCGATCGAGATCGAAATTTATCGCAACTCACTGCGATTTTTCATAAGCTGTGAACAAAATACGATTGTGCTACCCCTCAACGCAGGCGTTGTCACCTTCAATAAAGGCGTTTATCAAAGCCAAGCAACATAAACTTAAAAATATTTACAATTATTCACTTTCACGCTGTTTTTAAAAGCAATATTGCACAGGTAAATCTACTATATGAATGCAGTTAACCATAACATATGAAATAAAAACGAAGTACTGCAATACTATAAATATTTACCGCGTCCACTTTGGTCTTTGTCTTTGTAGTAACTTTAGAACAAAAACTGGTGTTTCGATCTATTCGTTTGTGTGCGAGTGGTAGTTCAATAGAGAAATCCCTTGGCTTTTTATACGCTGTATTTTTATTGAATAAACTAAAACAGGCGACGAACAGTCGGGAATGTTTTTCTACAGCCAATCACTTATAAGAAAACAGCCGTAAACAACCTAATTAGAACAAAATGTTTGTATTGTTTGTGAACTTGAGTCGTGTATTGAAAATTTAATAATTCAGTTTACAAGCTACTAAAATGGAAAAATCGCTGCAAATTTCAGTGTTATCGCACCAAAGTTGCAGTCAAAATCGCAGGGTGTTTACATTGGAGATTTAAAAAAATCGCCGTAGAAATCGCAGTGAAAATTGAAAGTGTACACAGGCCTTACGGAATCAAAGCCAGGCAGCATGCAGAATTCGCTGAATAAGGGGCTGAACACATTTATATTTGTTTTAAATACTTTATTGGATAGTGACCAAACGGTAGGAGTGCGAATGGGACTCGAGGTCCCATGCGAGGCACTCCTCCGATTAAAGATACAACAGGAAACATGCAATACATATAGAATACAATACATAACTACAGTCATAAATAAACATATGCCATCAACTCGAAAAACAACTAAGATTAATGATGCTTAAGAATTTAGTGATAGCAACAATACTTTGAAATGGCAGCATGAGCTCCACCCACCCGAATTCATCACACGAGCAAATTCCCAAACACGCCCGAACAGGCCGAACTACTTTCAAATGCTTTGGATAAGTCTATTAAAACTAAGGCCGCAACTTCTTTACGATCCATAGACTGCAAGATTTGATCTGTTATAAAAACGTTTAATGTTTCTGTAGAATGTAATTTTCGATTGCCACTTTGGTGTTCAGTATATCTTTTCCTTTGCGACGTATAGTCAGTCATGTGATGTAATGAGTCAGTAATATGAGTAATGAGTAAGAATAGAAATAATTCTTGATGCCCGATATTGCCTTCGTGGTGTTGTTTTTACTCATTTTCATTTGTGTGCTGCAAAGATCGACATTGCAGGTGAATATTAGAGGGGATTATTAGATGAAAATTGATTAGCTTTATAGAGGGGAATATTGAAAATATTTCCCGATAAGAACAAAGGAAACCGAGCAGGATGAATATCCACATATCCTTAAAAGGTTTATTACATTCATTAGAATGACTTGTACCGATGTGGTTTAGAATACTGACCCCAGTAGTGTTATCCATTCTAAGGCGGATATGTATATGATGTTTGTATTTAGCAAAAGTGTGTAAACCTAAAAATGACGCAAATAGCTCCAAATAGTTGATGTGTTGTTTCGTCTCTGCAAATGTCCACTGTCCCCCAGTTGAAATGCCTTGGTATTCCGCATCTGGATAATGATCCATCTGTAGTAATCTGCATGGAGGGTTTGTGGATCCCGAGAAATATAATTTTGCTCATCTAGTTGGCTATATTTCCTATCCATCAATTCAGCTCAGCCTTGGCGAGGGTGGACAAAGTCATATTGGCATCAAAATTCCCTTTGTTATGTTTTAAAGCAGATGTTTTGTCACTTTCCCAATATCTATAATAGAGTGGGCCGTAGCTTCTACCTGGAAAACATGACACAATTTTCCCAATAATACGGGCAACTTCCCTAATTGATGAAGATCTATTATCTCATAAGTTTTGGCAAGCTTGTATCAGGCTCTTGACTTTTTCATCTGTAAATCTTAAGCCCGTTCTCCACTAGCGAAGGGAAAAGCAAATCTTGGCAATGTGATTGGTCAGTGAAAAAAATCGCCGCGAAAAAGTTGGATCAGTAATTAATTCCTACTTTTCTCATGTTCGCGCGAACAAATTCGCATTGTGGCCATGGAGAACGGGCGTTACTGTCATATTTAGAGAGTTTAGTGTAAACCCTAATATTGTAATAATTTGTGATGGTATAAAATCCGATTTAACAGGATGAACGATTTAATGTCCATTTTTTAAAATTAACAATTGCCAAAAAAATTAGTTGGTTAGCCCATTTTCAAATGTAAAAATGATTTAAATTGAAGAGGTAATCATTTATATTTTTCTCATTTTTGTCCACTTTTATGGAAATAAGAAAGTGGCTAAAAATGGCACTAAATACGTGAGGGAATCCCTTTACATTTTTGCTATTTTGAGCTCTCTGTCAGAAATAAAAAAAGGGAAAACTAAGTATTAGGATTTTGGGCACATCACTATATAGATCTAGATCATTGTAGAAGGGTTTTGTTTTGTAATGTTCGAGTGTAAATTTCAATCATTAGATCTGACCAGGAATCGAAATTTAGCCATGGCCCTTTCAAAGGCAAACCTCTTAAAACTTATTAGAAAATATTATAAAACGTCAAATTAACAAGAAATATTACAAATATTACTTCGATAGTTTATGCTTGGTTCAGATCGGCATTATCGTGCACCTCTTTTAGGCAATTCAAGAGTTTGCTTCAATCTCTATTAAATGCTTAAATGGATTCTACCAAGCTACTGTATATTACTGATGCGAAATTATTGCAAAATGACCCCCCAAAATGACCCCGTATCTTTAATTTGGCATGTGGACAACTACGGTACGTAGGTGGGTTCGATTCTCGCTACGGAATCATGTGGGTGGAAAGTGTCAGTCAACGCTCTGCCAAAACTCGTGGCTTTTCTCCGGGTGCTCCAGTTTCCTCCCACAGGGAATGTTGACAGGGTGGGTACTGAGGATAAACATAGTTAGGAACGTAACATCACAATTGTTGTTAAGATAAATAGTCTTGGCTATTAAGTAACTTAATTTAAAGTAATACTCGATGTAATCGATCACTGAAAAGCCCCATTAGGGATTGAGCTGAATAATACATCTCTGATAATAAATGAAAATGTAAATTTGTCTCTGAACGTTATTAACTTCAAAACGATGTCCATATCTTCACGGCATCCGCGCGCGGGTCGCGAGGATGAAGTGGGGGCATATTTCCTGTTAAGTAGTTAACAATATAGCGATGATTTATTATTTCTCTTACAAGCTTGGAAACTGGCAAAAACCAAAGCATGCCCAATTAGTAATTAAAACATTCGGAAGAATGCTTGAGCAGTCTTGTCAGTCAGTCTAACAGCCATGCCGGTGGTGTATGTACGTAGTAAAACAAATGTGAATCAGAATTGAAATTGCAAAATAATATTGTTAAATAATTAATGCAACTGCATGATATTTGCATTCTATTATAAGCTATATGAACAATATTCTAATATCACAGCATGACTAATTTATCAATTATTTAAAGCAAACCTAATTTCGTTCGAATTTAATACGAGGCGCATGCAAAATGCATGCTCAGCTGTATTAAATCTTGACCTTATAACTCAAAAGAATTTTATCCATTTGGACACTATATCCTCTTGACATTGTGTAAAATGCCTGATGCCCTGTGCTAACGTATTTCCTTGCTGGAACGCTGTCGAGTCGTTCGGATAACTGCTTCTTCTGCCTGTCAGGCCCATATTCTTCGAGTACTTCGGCATATCAATAATGTGTCTCTCACATGATTCTTCTTCGCAATCTGCATCATTTTGCTCATTTGGTTCCGTCATTGAATCCCCTTCCTCGATCTTATCAAGTTTATGCTTGTCGAAAACGATATTATCTTCTTTGGGAAGTATTTTAAAGCTGAGCATAGGATCTCTTGAGTCGCATTTTCGACACTTTGTCTGGCTTTGTTTACATTTTAATCCACCTCCAGAAAGCTTGAAAGTCCTTGTCAGGCCCTCGCAAAAGCTGATTGGATGCGAATTTCTACGTGTTCTGAACCTCGTCCGCAGTATCGCTTCATCTCTTGCCGTAGACTGGAATCCCTCTAAATTTTCGTTTATAGTTGGCAGCAAATCATACTCTACCGATCTCGGCAAGTCATCGGAGAACGAGTCCCTTTCATTAATTAAATTTGTAACATTACACTTACGGTTGCTCGTGCTTGTATCATCCAAGAGGTCCAAGTCTCTGGTGAACAGCCTTTCTACCATGTTTTTTTTAAATTCCAGGCCTCTCCAAAACGTTTGAATTCACTTTGACTAAACCAAACCTTGAAGCTTTAAGTAACTGCTGCTAGATACTTGACCGCTTATATGTGCCCACTTACACTTTACAATTTACAAATGTCAGACAGCCGCGCATAAATAGTTGACAGGATAAGGTTACTATATACAGTGTCAAAGTCATATTTGAGGCATTTCAATCAGTTCTTGCCAAATTTTCGCGTGATAATAACATCATTGCATCGTCAGCTTTCCGAATGAGCTTTTCAAAAACCAGAAATTATGGACAGAAATTCTGACTACGTGGTATATAAAAGTCAAACAATATGATCTTTTTAACGTATTATACCCGATGAAACGCACAGTTGGCGATCATCGGATATGTCAAATACTGTCGCAATCCGATTGTGGGTAGACTAAATAAGCTCCGCAATGCAATAAACAGTGCTTAGAGTTTTCTTAATTGAATATACGGAACTGAATAATGGGAAGTTTTTATAGGAGCAATTTTATTTATCGCTCATGCATTTGAATTTATAATTAGTCGTATTGCTGAACGTGATAATACGCATGCACATGTTTATTTATAAGTTATATTGAAGCAGAGAAATATGTCAAGTATTTTATCAATGTTTGCAATTCTTTATTTTCAAAATATTACCACAAACTCCGAAAGTTTTCACAGGATTAAAACTGGGGTAGGCTAAAACGCTGATACGGACGGGCGGATGACCTATTTTTCTCTAAAATATGTTTTAAACATCATATCCGCGTTTTACCCAATCGGGTAAAACAAAACGAGGATATGGTGTAAAATCTGACAGCTATTTCAATTAAGGTCGGTCCCCCGAGCAAAGCGGAAAAGTCGAATACGAGCACGAAAGGCTGCTGCGGGAATCGCTAATAAATTCATTCATTTATTTGCGATTTCCAGCAACCTTTCGCGCTCGTATTCGACTTTTCCAAGACGCTCTGCGGAGCGTTTAATAACTCGCTGGGGCTATACAAGTCATACAAAGACAAATACGCACATTACTAAGCGGAAAAGTCGAATCTGAGCGCAAAAGGCTTAACACAGTACTAAAATGCGGTAGGCTGAATCGAACGGTGATATTTTTATAGTTATTGCGCCATGAGGCATTACAAATACAACAGAAGAGGTTGGACAAGCAGGCCGCAAAGCATCATGGGTTTAAGCGCCTAATTCCACGCGTGGCTTCAATGACTCTTTGACTGTCGTGGAGTGAACATCTCTCTGAGTAAACAAATATGGAAACATTCGAAAGACAAGATTGTAAGGCTGCAATACTTTCTTTCTAAGTTGGATGGCGTTTACTCCGTATATCATCAAAGTGAAAACAAGCGCAGTATTTAAGGTTGGTATCCTACAATGCAATACAGTTGACTTGTTTCAAATTTCCGCTTTGCTGTTTTCAATATTGTACTGTAATTTTAATATAAATACACTGTACAAATTATGGCACAATATTTCAAATATTAAATTCAACCCTTTAGTTTGACCCTGTTCCTGATGAATTTGTTAATCGATGTGGATCATATATTGACAGCGATTAATACAATTGATGATGGACATTGGTTTTCAGATGAGTTTGAAGGTATTGTTATTTGTATGTATTTTATAAATTTTTGCTGAGTACGATGCCTGTTTGTATCTAGTTGTGGATGGTTGTTTAAATGTGCAAAATGTAGTTTAATATTTTTCAATTTTTATCTAAATATTGCTATGTTTGTGTGTTGTTCTAATACACAGACCTAACACAGTTAGGTATATTAATAATTTAGAGGTTACATGTGCTTTTGTGTAAGATTGCTAATTTTAGAGATGACGGTGCATGAAATAATAATTTTCTTGTTATGATTTTGTAGACAGAGATTTACTTGAGTTGTTGGCTAAATTCTTGAGCCTGTTCAGGATGGATATGATAATGAAAGAGGTGATCTAAGGTGATAGGGCAGAAAGTGATGACAAGTTCAGTGATGAGGAGGTAGAAATCATCCATGCTGTACCATTCAAGTGCATCGGTGCTGCTCATGAGAACCACTACCAACATCATTTGGAAAAGGCATACCTCACTCTTCATGAACAAGATAAACCAGGGAATGTAAGGATACGGCCAGAATCATTGAATCCAAGGGACCCAAGTGCAATAGCAATTTATCCAGACTATGGAACTGGATGGCCCCATGTTGGTTATATATTGCTTCTGAACTATGCAAGTATCTGCACCCATTAATTGCTGCAGGAGATGTTGTGGATGTCTATGTTCAGCATATCAAGTATAGGGTTGACTTTTTTAAAATAGGATTTTATCCAAAAAATTTCATAGAGACATGGTTAGTGCATGGGAGACTCAAGTGGTAGGAAAAGCATGAGTGTACGTTGACAGATGTTTTTTATATAAATAATAGCAACTAACTATGTTTAGCAAGTTATTGAAGTGCATTTATTTCAATTGGCTAACTTTTTAGATTTTTCCCAGCATTTTTTAAACAAACCATGGGTTATAAATGATAACTTTCTATATCTAATTAAAACAATCTGTCATGTACACTCGTGCAAAATAAGTACATAACTGTAAAAATGTGCTTTAGTAAATAAATGAGTAATTTATCCATGCACTTGACCTACTTTGTTTGTAATTTTTCAGATTAAAATTAATGCAACAATAAAACAAGAAGATGTCTATTTATATAATACACAAGTCAATTCCTGGAGTAACCATCCCGCCGGGACACCCCCGGGAATTTGCCTGATAGACAGTTCACGGGGGTCGGGAATTTGCCTGTCATATACGCACATGGGCCGGGTATTGTTATAGTCGCTGAGGACCCGGGCGATTTGACAAATGGTTTCACTTTTGCGAAACTTATTACAGGTTTATGATTTCATTGTTCAAATAATTTTAACCACTCTTAGCAAGATTCATGTTTATATTAAAGTTTTATAATATTCCATAGCAGTTTAAAGATGCGGTACAGTCTGTATGTAAACAAAGGCTTTGTTTACACGTTGATATCCAAAATATTGAATTTTATTCAACAACTATTTATATTTTCATGATTCTAGAGTATAATAAATTATCAAGACACAACAATTAAGCTTTGCAAGACCATAAAATGAAATAAAAACCTAAATAAACTGTTTGTATAATAAAAAGAGGGTCCTTTGTGCACATGCGCAGATCAGACTGTACCGCATCTTTAATAGTATGTTATTAAATGACTATGCCTATGATATACATTAATTCCACTCTGAGCTTGCCCAAGTGCCGTGCATCAGTCTCCTGGTTGTGTCCCGGCACCCGGGCATTTGCACTATCGTAACCAGTCCGAATCAAATGCCCGGGTGTGTTCCGGGTGGGATTGTTATTCCTCGAATTGACTCATGCATAATATTTATTAAATTTCAATAAATTGACCACAATAACATGCCTATGATACTTTATAATTTGATATATGATACAAGATAATACAATAAAAACTTGTTTTATTGTTTTAAAACAAGTGGAGCTCTCTGCTGGTTTGAAATGGGCTGTTATAACACTGAGATGTCCATGCTGAGGATTCCGCAGCTCGATTTGCAACAAAGACCCCAGGATCAGGCGATCAGCTCGTATGGCGAATATGTACACGTCCAGTCGCGTCGGCCAAAGACAAAAAACTTTGAAAATCGCACAGATATAAATTCTACAAAAATATTGAAACAACTCCTAAGTCTTCTAAATAATATTTTAACACT